TTATAAAAGTATTTCGTGGGTTAAGATTTATGATCATAAATCAAAGCCCACTAAATACTTTTACCGGTGGTGTTTAATTACTAATTGTACTTGTCAGTTTAGCGCGCAGGCACTTTAACTAAATGCTAGTAAATTGGTTGAGAATATTAATTTTCCGTCAGATGATGCTGCTATTGAGAAGCATTAGCTAATTACATAGGGTTAGTTTATATTATTTTTTAATTATTTTTATTGGCGCATGTTGAAGCGAAAGTGTTTCAACGAAGTTATATGTCGCATACAGAAACGATACTTTTACAGTTTATGATGAAGTGACAAGCGCGTTCGCGCACTGTTTCCGATTGGTATTCGTTCCTAATCCGAGACTATACAAATCTAGAAAAGTGTGACTCGCTTCGGATGTCGAGTTTGCACCAAGTCCAATTCGAATTTAAGAAACTACGAATATCGCTAGAACACCTAGAGGTAAAATGATCAATGTGACATTTCGGACCGTTATTTCTCGGGTTCGGAACTGATACGAATCGGACGGACTGTTACTCCTCGTCATTATTCTGATTTTTTATTAATTAAGGTCATCCTCTTGGACTCCTAATTATATTCTTGAGCGACACCCGGACGAACTCGCTTGACCTCAAAATTGTTGGAAATATTGTTTGTTTACCCTCGAGAGGTCTCGGCGGAGAACAATGAGCAGTTTTTTGTAAACAAACAACGATGAGAGCAGGTAATGAATATGCTGGAACAAAGAGTCCAATGCGGAGCCTCATTAGCCATTCACTCGGTGTACCTGCCTCAAAAATAATTTACAAAAGTCCTGATGAATGTTAGTCCTCTTATTTTCCAGTCTGTTTTTCAACATTGCAATTTATTTCTGTTGTTGTGTCTCAACAATTTTCTTTTGGAAAATTTGTCTTAGTATGCAGTTACGTCTTTATTTACGTGTTTACCGTAGTACTCCTATATTTGACTACTGGTTTTAGAATGGTAATATTAGCGCATACAATTCTTCACCATTGGTTTACTTATATTGGACTTATAACAGCCGTGGTAGCCAAATGGTTCCGAGCTCGCACCTCTGAGTTTCTCGGAATTGATGTGCGAAATTTAATTTGAATTTACCATGAGCTTTTCGGCGAAGGAAAACATCGCGATGAAACCTGAACGTCGAAGAAGGTTCACAACCCTCGGAAAACGTGTGAAGTCCCCAAACCGCATTGGACCAGCGTGAAGGATATAAATACAGGTTGTTCATATTATATACATTTATATTGGTATTAGTCATATTTTACCAACTACATACTGCTATATAGGTTACCTATCAGTAGTCCGAAATGACATTTTCCAGAAATAACGTTTGCTCGCATTTTCATAACCTCGAAAGTAATTTTAAGAGGAAAATGTTTTTGCTTTTAAAACTAACTTAACCTAATCTAACCGAACCTAATCGTGTCTTTGCGATAAACATCCAACATATCCTGAAAGAACAACGATTTCGTATAATTCGGTTTTTGGTGTAGGTAATGAAAATTCGAATAAATGTTAGTTCAGAAAAGAAAGTTCGAGTTTGTAATAGGTTAACTGCCATATTTTATGCTATACTTTTTTTACAGTTGAGAACACATCAAGTCTGATTTTTAGGCGTTGTTTTTATCGTAAACAGTATACAGTAAGCAACTTTAAATGTTCAGTGTCGAACTGGACATGCTCATGACCCTGTACATGATTTTTACATCCCATAAATTATGCAAACAAAAGGTGTTTACGTTTAAGTCTTCACTTAAATCATCCATTCTCTAAAGTCGACCTTCATCAACTTTTCCATGCATAGGAAATTAAAAGAGTTTGTTAGATATGTTGTACACAGTCCGTGTTGAACATAATTAATTCACTAGCCGCATTTGCAAGCTCGACTTTGATTGTAGTGTCTGTTGTATTTACGCCTGTTACAACTGAATCAACATAAGCAATATGAACTATGCAAAACACAGAAGCAGTTTAAGGCAAGTTGGAAACAGCCCCTTGAGGGTTGAATTCATCCGTGTTCAATTCTTAGTGATTTATAAATCTGTCTCTTTATTGCTCTTTGGTTTCAATAAATTAATGCTAATAATGGTTACGTGTGCGGTATAAGTGATATTTATGTCATCGCTGTGGAAACTTCACCTTGAGGACGCAGTATCGATGTTGGATCAAGGCGTAGACTATAATTGACTGTGGCTATAATGAGATCCCTTTGCGTTGGCCACAGCCGCACACAAGTGCTTTATCCTGTCAGGATAGTATTGCAAATTCTATTATATCTGTATGTATCCAAAACATTTAAATAGGTCTTTTTTGTTCCTTATTTTATATTTCCGTGTCATGGCATTGCAATAAAATGCTTTTCACGCTATTGTATCATTTAAGAGGGAAAATAAAAAATCATTTATAGTACTTATAAGGAGTTTTCGACTGATCCATCTGAGCAACTTTCATTTGATTTTAATTCTATGAAAGTAAACATTTGTTGTTATGTTTTTTAATACTTAAGTTCACTTTGAACATGACAAAGATGGTTTACTTAAAAAATATTACAAAGTTCTGCTTGGAATACACAGCAGTTAATAATTTTGTGAAACTGGTGACGCGATGCGCGAAGCCTTCGTAAATTAGCTCTCAGAATTCTGTTAACGACGTTCCATGGCGGAAACTTCGGCAAATAAAAACGTTAAACAACTTTTAACTATTATTTTGCTAGATTCAAAAGTTTTTCGAAAACATTTCATTTTTAGATTGTTGCACTTGGATTGACATTTTTTTTTAGAAGTCATTTAAAATTTTAAAACATATTTCCTTGAAAGATTTATGCAGATCTAACACAGCGCCGTTTTTGTTTCGTACGAGTTTGTATGAAAAGATTGGTGAATAAGTAAAGCAAGAAAAGTTTACCAGGATCGTAGAAGTCTACCCCAATTGGAATCGAAAGCCATGAGTATACATGTATGTATGCCTTTTGTAGCATATGCTACAGCCTCACTCGTATATTTGCAGTCCTGCAATTTGGCCCGGAAGGTGACGGTTCGGACATCATTTTTATTCAATTTCGTAGAGACTGTAGCGTACGATACACTTTGTATGAAGCACTGCACGCACAAGGCCACGCTCATCTAAGCGGCGACGAGAGGGATAAAACAGATATAAGAAGAAATATACAAAGATTGTACATAATTCCAAAGAAGTATTTACTGCTGAGCATGAGGGTCCTGACGGTAATTAGGGGGCTTCGCAAAATTGGTTCCAAAAAGTTTTAAATACAAATACTCAGAAAGTAAAATAAAACCTCAACAAAAGAATAACTAATTAATCAAAGTTTTTACTCGCACAGAAAATTCGCGAAAACTTCTATTGTTTTGTTAATTTAATTTCACAATAAAAAATTATTAGCATGCTGATTACGACTATTGTGTTATTGGAGAATGAATAGAATTCTTTAAAAATGTAGTAGGTATTCCAAATACAATTACGTAAGTATAATAAGTTACTACAGTCGCAAAATTTGATTATTTCGATATAATTTTGGAATTATATCGACCACGGACCCAGCTAGCTGCGTCGGTGGCCGAACAGTTACCACGCCGGACTGCCACGAAGAGGTCCCAGGTTCGTTTGCCGGGCCGGCAGAAATATTTATATGGCCTACATTTATTCCTTTCGTGAGTTTGGGTGTAATTGGTGGTTGTCTATGTGTGTGTCCATGGCACCCGCGACACCGGGGTTTCCCTAGTGGGGCTATGTTGAGTGTGTGCGTTACTATTATTATTAATTCGCTTTATAATATTAAGTTTTTAAGATATGTGTTTATTTTTCGAAAGTATACCAGATTATATGTCGAGAAATATAGCGTGTCATAAAACCTATACAGACAGTACGTGGTAATAAAATATGATTTCTAGTGAAAGTATACCAATAAAATTTTGTCCTTTAGTGTAATAATAAATATGGCACTATTTAAATGCTGCATATCATTTGTCAAGGTGACATTTTAAGGGCGTCTCTAAATTAGACGTAACAGAAACGCTGCAGTGGCGTGGCAGCCGCACGTTACGTCTTTCTTCACTAAAATATTGTGACTATAAAAGTGGCGCGCGCGTGACGACAATAGTTCTGCGACTGCGCTTCATGATATTGTATGAAAATTAGTGGCATGATAGCCGCGACATGACGCGCCACTGCAATTTGAAGGCACCCTAAACGTCATATAGATATAAAAATTTAGAGAAATTCCTCATAATGTGAAATTTTAAGCCTTCTTTTAAATAATTTGATGACTGTATTTCTTTAACATCTTTCGTTGTTATGTTGCTATGTGTTGTATAGCTGAGCTCCCTCGTGCATTATGATTTTCTTTCTATATTTCATTACACGTACAAAAAACATATTATTAGCCCGCGTGGTTAAACGTTTCTCAACGTGTATTTTTTTTTTGGAAAATTTACTTGCGGGTGAACATTTTTGTTCAAAATTGTCCTAATCAATATTAAATGCAAATGTTGTAGTATTCATTGGAAAATTACAAGTGACAAAATAAACCAATAGCAAAACAAAGGAATAGAAAATAGGTAAAACTAAAGGAATTCGCTTATTCGATTTCTTAGGGAATTTAAAACCATTTTTAACCAAAGAACAATATTATCTTCAGAACATATACCTAGGTCATATGAACAATTTCAGCACGTAAAAACAGAGAGGTAGAGCTAGCACATGTGCACAGCTGCCCGCTCAGGGAAGCGTGCTTACGTCCTTTAAGTCTTTGTATTAGAATGTGTAATCAGGTCAGAAGTTATGTTCGAATGGGTGATCCACTGTACCTTATGCAAATTTAACGATAACTCGCTTTTAGGGTCAGTAAACTGTTACTACGGCTTTACGACATGATAAGTATATTGCTGTCTTCGTATGGTTTGGGTCGTTAGTTTTTATATCACGTTGACAATACTAACATGTATTATTTGTTTCAGATCTGGATTCCGCGTCTCTGTACTTATAAAGGTAAGTTATTACTATTGGATGAACGATAAAGATAGAGCAAAAAAGGTGATAAAGGTGATTGATAAGGCAGCGCTGTGGGTAGCGAATTATTATTTAATCATTAGTAAAAAATATGAACCAGAAGGTCTAGGTCGAGGAATCCTTTATTGGTCTGTCGTTGATATTACCAGTTAAAACAAAAACTGACTTCGTGGCCGAAGTTACAATGCTGGTCTGCCTCGCATAGGTCCCGGGATCGATTCCCGGCCTGGGAAAAATATTTATATAACCTACATTTATTTCTCTCATGAGTTTCGGTGGAATTTATTGTTGTCTATGCGTGTGTTCATGATCCCTATAGGTGTGTCCATGATTGCGTTGTATGGAGTTAGACTGTGTCAAAATACAAAATACAAAAATCGTACAACACAAAGAAAAAAATCCTTCGATCTGACTGAAACCAGCGTCTGTTGCTACACAGGGGCCACCGCTCTTACCAACTGAGCTATAGGACTAATCAGCAGATCTTACACATTTCTCCATGTTCTTGTTGCAAATCTTCGTATTGGATTTAAACGACTTTTAAGAAACTAATGAAAATTACGTATTGTATTATTCATAATGTTTATCTCTAAAACAACAACATACCTAATATATTTTGAACCCTTGCTTTTGAAAGGTGAACTGACGAAATGATTTATCCGACAATTGTACACCACAGAAGCTTGCCTTTGCTTTCCGACAGAGCTTTGAAACCCTAGAATGTAATCTTGCGAAATTCAACCAATCGGGAGATGTTGAACAGAAGAGAAGACACAAGTATTCTACTTACAGCATCAGTTCGACTTGAAATGGCAATTCGGTTAATGTTATTAGTTGACTATTACGTAATAGATTTCGATCAAATTACTAAGATTGATCGAATGTCCATAAAGTGGATTAATTGTGGAAAAAGGGAGTTTAATACCTGTAGCGGACTGTATCAATAGGTTCGATCGAGGTGCTATCAACGAGTGACCAAGACCAAAGTAAATGTACTTACAAAACACGGCCAGCTATGGATACAATAGAAACAACAGCAAAGAACAAACGTCAAAAACAATTACATTTAAATTCATAATTTAAATATTAAACTAAACTTAAAAAGACTATATAAAATATGTACAAAAGAGATTTGTAGCGACTGTTCCGATTCGCTACGATACTTTTATAAATTTGGTACTTTTTAGTATTTTATGCACTAGAACCATTGACCTATCACTAGAACTGATTTCTAATTTTAAATATTTTACGTCTTTACTTGAGTTCTAAGGTTTTCGCGGTTATTAAGCATAGGAATTGAAACTATGTTTTCGGATTTCAATCGCGTATACCATTTTGTTTTTTTTCAAACAATCAATTGTCGTTTCGGACACTTTACAGGTCCCATAGTCACGGCTGACTGTCAACTGGATTCCGCTGTGACCCATACCTGTAAAAGTCCCGAAACGTTGATTTGTTTGACAAACAAAAAAGTAAAAATCTTTACCTAAATTTGTCAATATCTGATATCCAAAATGTAAGTATGTATGTATGTTTTATGTATTGTTTTATATATGTTTTTATCTTTAGTTTGCCGATTTTTAAACTACAAAACCCACCAACTACCTTCTGAATTATTTATTGCAACGCCACATAGAGTAGATTGTATCTACAATACAATAGTATCTGAGTAAAACGTTTTATTGCACCACAAGGTTATAAAGTTACAGTAAATGCGTATGTATGAGTATGAGTTTGATACCTGTAAACCTAAATTTCCGTACCTATATAGGAAATTTAGGTTTACAGGTATCAAACCAAAATATGATATTATATATACACCAAATATGAATTATATATATTCATATTTGGTGGCTATTGTTATAATTTAATATTATGTTTGTAAACTTACATTATTATTTATATTGCTTACATTTATATTTGCTTTACATCTTACACTTTTGCTTGATATATATGTATAGTATTTGGAGTTAGGTATATATATTTGCGTGTGATGAACTTTGGTAGCATGGCTTACTGGGCTGTGATCGCTCACCATATGGTACTGGCAGAAAACTAGCACTGTTTGACTTCTCTCGGTCTACAGTATTTATGCTGAGTCAGGGCCATTTCAGCATAAACTGTAGTCATAGGTACATTAAAATTTTATCAGTTCTTATAGTATTTGTTTGTTTTTCTCACAGTATTTGTTTTTCTCGCAGTATGTGTTTTATATAAATGTGAATAAATTTAATAATGAATGTATATGTGCTTTTATGTTATAATCTGTGAAGTGATTGTAAATATTTTGTTTCTGTTTGTATTTGTGCTGAATAAACGTTTTATCTATCTAAATTTAATAATACGTACATTTTTAAATCGTATTCTATACAATGAACACTCATGATCGTGGTTATTTTGATGATATGCAGTGGCTGGCGACTACATTAAAGCTGCTTCAAAATAAATCTAAATAGATTTATTCTTTACTCGTTTTTACGATCCACGCAATAAAACGTTGTATAGACTTGAAGAAGTTTTATAAGCACTGATGAATATTGTAGCTTGGAACGGCTTATAATTTCTTTTAAAATAATAAACTTCTTTTACATAAAACGTACGTGGACGTTATGATCTTGATCCATCGTACGAGTCATGAGTGCGCTAAATGCTTTTTTTCTAAATTCTAGTTTTGAATTATTTCGTTCCATATTAGGTCTTTTTTATTGTGGGTACTTCATAAAGATTATCATAGTTAGAATTAAGTGGCAATGTTTACGCACTGGTGTTTAAACTAGTTGTTTGTACTATACAGATGGCTGGAACTTTACCAAGACGGCTCACTCTATTCTTCTATTGTACTGGAAAGATACAACAATGAGACGGATCGGAGCAAATAATATTTCGTCAACTATACATATAAAAACAATCATTATTATTTTGGACTCTCTCGCCTCTCCCAAGGTCTAAAAGATTAATTTTGAATTTTTAAATGGGAGAGGCGGTATTCCCCGGCAATGGCACAGTTGGCCAGGGTCAGAGACTCAGGTTCAAAACCCAGCGAACGATACGTTCCATATCGAGCAGGACCGTCTTCTGCATTTGTGAAGCGACACGTTATCATTACTATTATCTATTTTAGACTCGCGCCTCTCCGAAGGCCTAAAAGATTAATTTTATAATTTTAAATGGGAGAGGCGGCATTATTATTATTATTATTATTGTATTTATTTTAAAGTCTCGCCTCTCCCAAGGCCTAAAAGATTAATTTTGAATTTTTAAATGGGAGAGGCGGTATTTCCCGGCAATGGCACAGTCGGCCGGGGTCAGGGACTCAGGTCCAAGAATCGGCGAACAATACGTGCCGTATCGAGCAGGACCGCCTTCTGCATTTGTGCTGGAAGCGACACGCCACAGAAATCCAACCGCCTCAAACTATTATTATTATTAATAATAATAATAATAATAATAATAATAATAAATTGGCAGGTCACGACATTTGATTCAATGCCTTAAGTAACGAAAGTGTAGGAGACACTTGAAAATAACGCGATCTGCCATTCTATGTAGATAAATATTGCTGTCCTAATAAGGTGAAGTTATTTGAACTTTCATTGCCACTTGTAGTCCAATTTTGTACTATGTTGATTGTATATTTACAGGCTCGCACTTAACGTCCGATGACGGGTCACGAGTGGCCATAGCGTCGAGTGACGGAACCCGTGTTCAGACATGTTTGACGTTATAGCCAGCGTGTTAAATTACCCTAATACAAATCGGCTCTATGAGCATTTACTAATGAAATGCTTGCGGTTTCCTTTACATATACAGCTGCTGTTATATTCTGTATATAGGCACTCGTACAGTTGCCTGTCTATGATGTACTTTATGTATCTAAATTCTTTATCTACGATGTACACAGGAGAGATTTTAACTCAAAAGAGTACAATGTCCCTTTCAAAATTACTGTACCGTAATTTTGTGAAATAATTGTGTTGTCTAACTAAAGCAAATTGGAAAGAACAAAAGGGAGCTGAACAGTGAAGTCTTATAACAGTAAAGAAAATTATAATAAGTTTTATGCGAGGACAAAACGAACACTGGACGTAAATTTACGAAATTTGCTTCGACGGGGATTCGGGGTACGCCTCAAACATCACTCAAATACCCCGTTTTAAGCGGCAGCAATAAAGCTTAGCCGTAATAATTACGCCGTCGAAAATTCGCTAAATTTATTTACTTAATCCGCCTAGAAATCCATAAACTCGCGAATGGGGCAACAACCAGATACAAATATCATGAGATTCGTGAACATCGGGACAAATGCCTCGATATTGCGAGTTACGGTTGACTAAAGTCTTTTAATTAAGGATGGTACGCGTCACCGGGCTCTGGGGGCCCGATCAATTTCTGCCTCAATTCAGATTGTTTGAAGCAATCTCGTTAGCGTGTTGTGAACCTTATAGGAAGAAGTTGATAAGAAAATCAGCCGGATGTTTACAAAACGACCTGTAATTTGCGGACTACACTGACACGAACAACATAAAACATTTTTTAGAAAATAAAAATAAAAAACGAAAATTTAAAAAAGTGTAGCCTGACATTGGCGTTGAATAAAGGCGCTTAGGAATTAATAATGAGATTACTTTGTAAAAAGCAGTACTCATATGTTGATATTTTCATACCGGTTTCGCGAATTAGTATCTCGATTATGGAAGCATGATTATGAAATAGAAATGAAATGCGAGTTTGCATATACGTAACTGGCCATTTATAAATAAGAAAATTATAAACTTGATACAGAAAAACATTCGCAATGTTTTAAACACCGAACGTTTCAATTCCATAATGAATAGCGCGACAACACACGCTGTGCAACTCCAGTCCATCGCGAGATTATGCGAATGTGTGCGTTTGTACACGGCAAGTGGCGGGCGTTCGCACATACAAGCCGCGCTGCTACGTTTGTATACTGTTACCGTACTAGTCTTATTACATTA